CCATCATTCTATATCCATCTTGTTTAAACTGCCAGTTTGTTATATCTAAAGTGGAATTACGCATGTAGGAGATCCAAACCAAACCGTTCCAGTCGCTCACTAGTTACAAAAATCAACAAGCTGAATGTTTCCGAGAACAAGGCCAATAATATCCGCATTAAACAAAGGTCTAGCTTTATGAACAGGCATGTTGATTAATTACATTATTAATTGTTGATTTATTCAACAAAGCTTCTCAAATGTAGGGTATACACAGTTTATAACGATTCAAATGATAGGATTGTCGTAACTGACGAAATAGTAAGGTTGTAAAAACAAACTTTGTTGGTCTTACTTCAACAGAACCCATACACAGTACTTTAATTGTTATATAAATATAATATAAGAAAGAACGTGGTCTTTATGTAGTACCTTGCAGGGACTTAATTTTTGGTGATAAGCTTGGCAATATCCTATTTTGGGCGTACCGTCAATTTATCTCTGTATTTTGAAGTAACGGGTGTTAACGGCTCCATCTTGGAATGGCGATGGCTACCAACGATTAAGGCGAATGTCTGGTACTGACCATTTCGCAAACATTTGTTTGAATCATTCCGACAAACATGTGACGTGTGCTGTGGTGTTAACACGGTATACTACAGTTCTTTGTTTTGTGGGTGTGGGTGTCAGGATTCGTATTCACAGAGCAGTGACGAATGTACCTAATAATAAAGTAATGTACATTTTTAGTATAATGTTTTTTAGAACAGGTAGTACAGAGAGTCACAGCCACGTGGACCACAGGAGGAAGGTTGGGTGTATTATTCACCTCGCCTTCAAACATATAGGAATCATGCAGTTTTCTTTTCAACGAGAAACATTAATTTAAAATCGCTGTTCCATTTTCATGACTACGTAATTTCTTCGAATCTGTAGTTGATACAAAGTTTCTATATAACTTAATTATAATTAAGTTATATAGAAACTTTGTATCAACTAATAATTATTAGCATATAAGAATATGAGGACGAGCACTAGACACATTTTGGTTGAACAGGACTGAATAACATTTTGTTTTGGCTTAACAACTGCACGGAGGCGACATGATACAACGTTCACGCTGGTAGAAGTTTGTTGGCCTTTTCATATCAGAGAAACAAACCCCATAACTGACAAGACATGTGTCATTAAAAATTAGGCGCCTCATCCGTTATTCTGCAACCTTTTATATTTGCATTTGAACCTATAACAACAGACAAAACTGAATCCTTCAGGATAAATTTAAATGTCCTTCATTTCCGAAGTTTGATAAATATTTACTTCCCTTTGTCTAAATCTCTGGCCATGTTTCAGTTACCCTCTTAGACCTGCACTTAAGAGAGGCAATTAATCTTCCCCTTATAGAGTCCAGCGCTATAATGAATGTATAGTTCTATTGAATCGTTTTATTAGAAATGTCTAGCCCACCACGAAGTTTGCAGATCTTGAGCTGTATAGGTTAGATGTTTTGCAATGCAAATGGCTCCCCGACGCAATGAAGAGGGAATATAAGCGGCGAAGACGACAAAGGGAAATCAAGTCCTTGCTTGTAATCATGAATTGACTCACAGCATTAAAAATAATCTAAATTACTAGTAGCTTAACACACGAAATGTGAACTTAAATGTTTTACAACTTTGTAAGTTTATGTCAATAAACAGCTAAAAGAGAATTTAGGGTTATATCGAAAGGACGAATATTTCAGATCGATCTTATGCAATATTACAACAGCGTAGGCTCTACTCAAACGTTTGTATAGGTGCGTTTGGCAGGAATTTAGCTCCAGTCGCCGTGAAGGTGTTTTCACATTTATTTCACTTCATAAACAAATTGTATATGTTGTGCTTTCAATGCAATTTGCAAAGATAATGCTGCAATTAATCATATTATTTTTGAACAGAAAAACTTGTATTCCCTTTCAACTTTGATGGATCATACGCTGGGCTAGATGTCATCATAAATAATACAGAGCAGCCAAGAATTACTGGGACGATCAAAACAACGACGTCGCAAACACTAAAACAAGTGTCTCTTTAATGTTGCAGGACTTTAAAAGCACCTACGTTTGGGTTATGAAAATACACAGTAACGATATATCTAGGTAAAATTTCAGGTTCTCACGGCAGCGAGTAAGAAGATGGCTTCCTTCTGGGGAGTTCCGCCGTGTAGTCTTGAAGAAATTTACCGACGTTTTAGAGGTACTTGCTGCCTCCACCATCAGGGCGATGAGAGAGGATAGAGACAACAAATAACTCTGAAACGTAGGTAAACTTCTAATAGACTGTGTGAAGCAACACCTCAGAAGACAGCAATCTTTAACATGTCTGCAAATTAGACAAGAAATAAAGTAGTTGCTAGACTGAGGAAACCACTTATTCTCATGTACACCGCAACACGTACTTCAGCGAACAGAGAATGAACAAAGAACAGGGAATGGACACATTTAAGGCCAAATACAGAAAACACAAGGTAACAGCGTGCTGCCAAACATGTCATTGGGAAATAATTAGTTTGAATCCACGCCGGAGTCACATCGAGACGCTGCAAGAAGGGTAATTACTGGCTGCCCGAGCTGGAAAGGAGGAAGGATTATTCACACTATCATTTTGGACGCCTCTTGATAAAAACTAAGCATGTGATGAAGCGATTTGGCTTTCCCACAACGTAAACGCATGGAAAATGCATTATACAAAGTATCAGACCGGAATTGAAGGGAGTTCAGCTTGTAATCATGTATTTTTGTGAGCCAATCAACACCTGGTTGAAGGATAATTTTCGAACTTTGTACAGAACTGTCTGTCTGTCTGTCCCACGAAGGTCTCAAAGTTACGATAGAAAAAGCGGAAATGAAAGTTAAGTTATGATCAGTCATCCCAAAATATTTTAAAATCAGATGACAGACCAACAAAACACATTCAACTCCAATATATAAGTCGCACTTTTTTAAAACGTAGAATTTCATTTTGCAAAATCAGAAGCCAACAGCACTATAGCAGGAAACATAGGGACCTGTAACAATTCAACTTATTTTCAAATGTCTAACTGAAATGTACACTGCTGAAGGCCTGATGTGCTTTAGCCAGTTTCTCAACGATGCAAATTAAAAAGCAATTAAAGCATTAAGAAGTTCATTTTCTGGTCAACAGTGACAGTCTCACTACAGGGTGGGTGGGAAGTAAGTAGGCATTAAATAATCTCTATGCATTGGAAATATAGAGGTTATAACCATTTCTCAATGCCTACCTACTTCCCACCCACCCTGTAGTTCACTAGTTCCGTTTAAAAGTGTTTTATTAAATCCAAAATTAAAGGTCGGGAAACGTGCCATAATTCTGATGTCAGTCTTAAAGTTCAATTAAATATCTATCAATATATAAAATACAGATAAAATTAGTACTGGCTAACCAGTTAGATACGGCATTGGGTGTACGCAATGTTATAGAGATGGTCTCATGAAGCTTTCACCACGTCTTGAGAAGACGAATCTGCTTCCCTCTCAGGTAAGAGTAGCAACCCTCCCACACTACCCGAGCGCCTCGTAGCAGAAGCTTCGCAAGATTAGGCATTCTTAATGCAAAACCCGTGTACAACGCAGTAAGCTTTGCCTTCCTTGTGTACAAGGTGTATGCCCGAAGTCTTATTGCCAGGTTTCTCTCTCTTCGTCTCCCTACTTCCTTTTTTATCATGGCTCCTGCTTTCGTTACTTATCGTCCCATCACTCAAATCCTAACCTCTCACAGTCACTCACCAACTTTCCCTAACGCATTCTCAGGAGACGTTAAGTTACATTAGCTTACCCTTTTTATTATTAGAAGAAGTAGCAGCCAGTTCTGTTGATACAAGAAGTGAAAGAACAGCTATAACTACATGCCCGAGTATACGAGTGGAAATTGCCTAATGTTAAGTCACAAATGGATCCTCTGGAAGCTTTAACTACATATACCCGCACATTTGATCACACAGGATTTGAAATAAGAAACCAGAATGATCTTCGGATCACGATATACTGTACTCTACAGCTCATGAAAATCAAATGAAGTTACATGAAAATATACATTGCTCGAACTGAATGGAGAATGTAATCCGTGTAACCTTAAACATTAATTTTATTAGATATACATCTTGACAAATAATCAAAACACTCGACCGTATTAAGTGGGTGGATTATGACTGCTAATGCTCACAATGAATTAATGCACCGAGTTGCTTAGGTCACATTGGAAATGATGGCACATTCTTCGCTGGATCTTATCTAAAGTTATAATAAATTTTAAATTTTCGGGTGGGTATGAGTGTAGAGTCGTCTCTATCACTGTTGATGACAAGCCTTCTTTCATCAAATATCTACTACTCTTTACGCTTTAATCCTTTCTGGCAGGCCTGCTCAACTTCAAAGTACATGTGGACCAAAATGTAAATTATAGAAGTTCTTCTGGCCACAGTTTCGTGTTTCCTGCGTGATAGCTGCATTAGTTAAACGTTTGTGAACATTATTAATTAATTAATTATATGAAAATAAATGCATTAATGTGTTATATTAATTACTGCGTTAATTACATTTAAATACCGGGGCATTGTTATACTGTTTCAATTTGTAAGAGCGAATTGCCTGGAGATACTTCCAGACACCACGAAAATCAGTTGCGCCGGGATACAATGTGTGCCAAAGACCGTAATTCAATACAGTAAACATGTCCGTTAATTTACAGAATGTCCCAAAAAGATGTACATACATTGTAACACGGAATAGTAACCGCATCGTCCATATCCGCGTTGTCATTACGAGGGGAATCTAATGTGGTCTACACTTAACAGATGGCATCGCCATATCTCTCCAATTATTCTGATGCACAAAATAGCGGAAGGTTTAGTTTATTAAAATATCATAATTTCATTCATTGAATGTGTGAATACATCTTCTTGGGAACATGTATAAAGGCAATACACAATTTGCAGTATCACAAACTGAAATCGGTTCTTACCTTTGTGATTACTGTTGGTAGCGATGTCGGTATCAGACTGTCGGACAAGTGAAGGTGGTGGTGAAGATGACGATCCAGTGGCGGTTTGAACTGGGGAACATTCCCCTCCTGTTGTGGGTGGTATCATGTCTTCAACTATAGACCCAGACCCTGATACAGACACAGCGCCTGCTGGTTGTTCTTCTCCACATTCGGGCTCCCACTCCTCCTCCCCTATAAAGATGTGACAGGTCTTTGACTGACTGTCTAAATGCGATGGTTGGTTGGAAGATGGTTTTCTTCTGGGCCTTAGTGCCGGGTAGTCTAGAAGAAGGATATCATCGTTTCAGAGGTCCTTGCTGATGACGGTGGCAGCAAGTACCTATCAAACTTTGGTAAACTTCTCCCAAACTACCCGGCTCTAAAGCTCATAAGACAGCCATCTTCGTATTCACCGCCGTGAAAACCTCAAATCCTACCATGGTTGATTATTCAGTTATTTTACGACGATGTACAGACTAAAATTTAAATAGCAAATACACACAAATATTAATTAACTTTAAGCAGAAGAGTCCTCCTTCAGATTCTATCAGTTTCTGAAATGACCAAGATATTTTCCACCTCTAATGGAACCCAAGATTCAACACTGTCGAGCTGGCTGTGAGAACCTCAAAACTCAACTCGCTACTGTGTTCACAAGGGTCCGGTATGCATACTTAGATTTCATACATATTTAGCTGTCTGCTTCTACAAAACGCGAAATATACTTAAAAATTAATCTTTATGAGGCTGATAAACTGTTTCCAGCAAAACACAGCAAATTACTGTTAATTTTGCATAGCACGATTTCAAAAACTGGCGTCGATTTGAAACATACCTTTAAATCTATAATTCCTGAAGAAAACCGGGTACCTCAGTGGCCTGCAAACAGCAACTGTAGGCAGACATTCCTAAAATTTAAATATTATTGGAATGTATACATCAGTAGATATATATCTTGACAGTTCAGTTAACCTCACTTGTCCCATTCCCCTTGAATTTTGTCTTTTCAGGAAGAGAATTAAGTCCCGCTAACATCAGTCCTGCACAGAGATGCTGGCAACATAATCCTAGTGAGATAAAAACCAATTTATCACGGGTATACGTATACACCGTTCAGTCACTTCACAATCCTTCAGCTATACTGCCTTTGCATAAAAGCGAAACAAGTAGCACCTAAGTCAGAGTTCGTTCTAAATTGTTTTCTGACGAAACTTGGTAAGTCTAATATTTGAATGACGCCGTTCTTAACAATAAAATTGGACCTCTTTAAAGACTCTATAATAGTCCGGAAGAAATCATATACCTTCTTTAAGAAGGGTTGAATTTATGTGTAGGTTTATATTTAGTTTCACTACTATCCCATGCACGCAGGCCTACGTCGATTCAGTTACTAAACGTGGTGAAATAAAACAAATACTTTACAATAAATATCAATCAATTCAATAAATGTGACTGATTTTCACGTTCTCATTTTTTAAAATATTCATTAGCTACTTTCATATCATGATTTTTCCAGAAAACTGGCGTTAAGACACAAACATATACTCAGTTTCTTCTTACATATAACAGAGCTTGCATTATTTCTTTTATGGTATTTATATTTTGGCCAGTAAATAACCATCGATAAGACAAAACAGATTGTCCGAATGACGTTACCTACTAACAAGAACATTTAAACTTACGATACAACACACAGACAGATTATTACAGATATGAGGAAATTTGTACTGTGTGAATGTCAAGCCTCAGGCTAGTGTTCTGTACGAAATCACATATGTCTACTCATATCAACTTTACTGGGGTTTCTTTTGAAATCTTTAAAACCTCTGATCAATATGGCCCTTCCCCGCAACCAACAATCAACTACCATCTTCGGAGATTTCGTGCTTGAAACCACTGAGCATAGTTCTAGTGCCAATAGCAATTCTTAACGTTTTAATATGGCTGTATTCTGGGTTGTAGCGCCGTGTAATGTGACAGAAGTTTGCCAACGTTTCATACGTCCCTGCTGCCTCCATCATCAAGGAGATGTGTATGCTGCTCACGTGGAATCGGTTTGAGATATATGAACCAATCTATCAAGGCTGAACCTTGACCGTGTCAGTGACCATGTTCCCCACTGGCTTGGCCTAGTCATCAATGACCTCTGAAACGTCGGTAGACTTCTACCAGACTACACGGCGCTACAACCCACCGCCGTGAAAACCTAAAAATCCTTAATTTGTCTCATTTCCTATGTCAGCAATGTCTTTGGTTTACATATTATAGATACGCGTTTCTTTTTCTTCAATAACCAAGGCTCTCATAGTGTACAATGTGGCCGCACAACTTGTGATGTATTTCCGGGACATTTGGTTTCCGTATCATTCTCATTTAACTCTCTAAAGCCTAGTGGTAAGTATATGTACAACCTACTTTAGCAATCAATAACTTTGCCTCCTGCCCACACAATATTATCTTTTTCTTACGATTCTCAGAATAAGTAGCGAGTATATCCGTAAACAGCACTGACCAATCAATCGTTATATTAGAAAAGTGTTGTTTGTGTTTTCTTTGTGATAAAACTAAATATTTAAATGTCATTTAAATAATTTCGGCCTCTAAGGGTTACAAACATTTCTTTTGTTAAGAGCTGCCTGTAAAGATGTTACATTGATAAGTTACAGATCAAATCTCGTAAACGAATATTACAAAACTGTTTACCAATTGTTTCCACTCATTCACTGGATAATACGAAAGTACCGCTCCTTTCCTGAGCCCACACTATTTATAAATACCTATACATGACTAAAATTTAACACGACTAAATGCAACGAAGTCTTGTCGGGAGATCAGCTGCGTTCATGTGGAGCCCAACTCCGAAATTTCAGAAATTAACTCCGTGACCAGGGAGAGATGAGACGAGTAACACAGATTGGTCGATTATAATAATTAAAAGCATAGATGTTATACATATGTTATAGAGTCCTGCACGATGACTTATCATATTTCGATCCTCATTAGTCAAAAATAAATTTCTAACCATCTGCAAAGCCACTATAAAAGGTGTGAAGAGTAGGAAGTAGAAAATGAATCAGTAGGTTAAGATTTTAAGCAGTTTCCTTTCAAATCAATCATGCATTCGCGTGTGTGTTTTCTTAGTAACCGTTTAATCATCTTGCAAAGTTTAACTATATATGTTAGCATGCAGAAATTAGGACAATATAAATACAAATGTTTTTATGTTCATTCAAAGTAATAGACTAGGCTAGAATAACTGATAACTGAGGAAAACATATGTCAGTAACCTAGAAACATTTTTGAAAGTCGATCAAATTCACCTGTACACAAAACATTATACTTTTTGGGTAAAATATGCTTATTTATGTTTCCAGTCATGAAAGTTCTCAATTTTAGATGTAAAAGTAACAGGCAAGCAATGGTTCCCAGCTTTTCTAACATATTCGAAGTTGGGGAGGAGGTTTGAGGGAGATAAACAAATTTAAACTCCTGTACACTCTACCCTTGCATCGGACTCTAGTCTAGTAACTAATATATCAAGTCGCTCTTTACGTTTCTAATTAAATATTTATTTCACTATTGACATTATTTATTTACCTGCCTGATGTATATCCTTGTGCCTTGATACAAAATATAGTACAGACAACAGAAACAAGAACATAAGGAGTTAGATTCTGCTTTTTGAATAGCTGAATTTACAGCGTAAAACAGAGTACTTTTAATAACGACATTTAAATTAAGGAATATTTTAGTGGAATCCATGAAGTTCATATATCTGAAATTCAAACATAACAATACAAAAAATAAATGAAAATAATAATTAAAATTTTGGTTGCGCGTTCATTCAAATAGCTGTCTAAATAATTGAGTAGGCCCCACAAATACAATCATGTTGAGTATCTGTCACGTTTCTAAATTAAGTGAACCTTACTAGAAGTTGTAAAATATTGTGTTCATGTTTTTACGACTACAGTGTCTCCATACACAACTGAAAGTGAGCAGTCTCGCTGATCTGTATTTTAATTTTAACGGACTTAACTCACTCTCTCCTGGAAATGGCACTTCAAGGGGGAGAAATGGGCTATCTAAATCGCATAAAACAGAATTCAGAGAGCCATCACGGCGGACGGTCGTTGAAGGCGTCTGAAAGAGTAAATATCTCTACACTTTCACCCGTCTCTTTCCTGAAATACAAGCAAAATGCTTTTCCTATAATATAATCCTGTCGGAAGCTGACAAGGTAATTCGTTGTCTGCCACAGCGACGACTACGGAAAACAAGTTCCATATGATATATTCCGTCCGACAGGATCATAAACTCGGATTTGTGACGTTCAGTTACGTGTCGTGCAGGAGTGAAAGGATTTAACTGCTCCGTCCCGCTGCAGGTATCACAACTACAACAACTACTACAAAGTAGTTCCTATGTTCTTAAAGGTTACAAATTACCGCTTGTTTAGTTTGTCAACGATTTTTTTCGAAAATACTGGTTGGGGTGTAAACAATAAAATGTTAATTTTGGAAATGGTACTCTTATGTAATTTAAATGTCTACTTGTATTTTTATTACTTCCCTATATTACAGAAATACCCAAAATATATTGTACTATATTTGTAACCATAATACAGATTTAGTACTACACACAATCTTCTTTGCCATAAATTTCGCGATTTACCTTTGATCACAGTACTGCTTCTAGTACGATATTTCATCTGACAATAAAGAAAGACATCTGTATCGAACAAAAAAAAACGTTCTCATGCAAATCAAGATTAAATTCCTTTAATTTTACACTATGATAGAACCTATTATTGCACAATTTGCATGTGTTTAGCTAAGTAATTTTAATACCATCCTGCGGTACATGTTTCGAATAAGCGACGAAAATGTTTAATTACTTCAATGCATGACAACTGAAAGTAAAACAAAACATTCCCACATTGCGTGAACAGGGGGCGTGTTTCCCAGAGGAATGAAATGATAACAACAATATGTTCCCAGAATACTCATCTATCGTAACGTGACGTCAAAGAGAATTTGATAATGAAACTTAATTGATGAGGTTAGCTCTGGACAGAATAAATTATCAATTAGATTGTTTACATGTATTTTATAGACAACACAGCATCGCCTTCCACCTTACAGTTAGCATGGCTGCTTGGCTATCGAGATATCCATGGATCAAATCCCAAG